AACTGAGTGGGTAGATATATGGGAATGAAGGTAGTATTGTTTCAGATGAGTAAGTCACCAGGCATTCTGATATTCATTATATGCTCTTAATTATGTCATTAATTGAATTCCAAGTAAGAGAAACAAAATCTCTGTGTACTCTGTAATTTACAGAGTTGAGAATGTTTCACTATTGATCTAACAGCTGGGGATTTCTGCTCTCTCAGTTAGTCCAAGGAACATGAGAGCATGCTTGGAGTTTCTGAGTTTGTAAACTAAAATACTTGTATTATTAGTATGGTTCAAAATCTAACCCCTTTCCTTCTTTTTTTTCCCCTAAATTACCTTCCAAAGAAGTTGTGTCATTTCTTCTAGCATTAGGAGTATATACTTCTTCTGACTCTCACCTAGTCCTGAACACCTGTATTCCTATTCAAGAGGGTAAAGAAAAAAGTAAAGAATAATCCATAACTATTACTTAAAAAATGCACACAGATGACAGTCATTTCTAGGGGTTAATGATTTTAGTGTAATCGCATTGCAGTGATGTACATGAATCGAGCAAGTCAGAAGAGAATAGAAATGCAACTGCATGTAGGTAAATTTGCACAAGAAGTTAGAGGAAGGAGATAGGCAATTGTTTTCAAATGCTGGCAGGATTGCAGACTGAGCAGTCTTTCCTTTAAAAAGGTTTGATTGGTAGGGGCTATAAATCAGCTTTATTCTTCATAAGGAAGAAAGCAGCTCCATGCGTGCTTCTAACCAGTTTGGGCAACTGGCAGAGGAATGAGTTAGTAGAGCAGTTCCTCTGGGGTTGTAAATTGAAGTCAACAGGACTGTGACAGTTCATACTGGTGGAGGATGAACCACCTCCGAAGACTGCTGATCCCATATTATGTATCTTCCAAGTAGTCCTTGGAGGATCCTTAGGACTGCTGCAGTCTGCTTCTGCTTAGCTTGCAAGATTTGACAAGGATCAGAGCCCAAGGTGGGAAGTTTGCTGTCATAAATAATATTGTCTATAACCTCAGTTTCCTGATTCAGCATTTTGGGTGTGAATAGTTTACAGGGAGAGGACTTCTAAGTGAGAGGACAGTGCTTTTTTAAGGGACAAGGGTAGATTGGGTTCTGGAAGACATGGGAGGTATGAAGCTGGGGAGAACTCTGTAGAATGGAAGTTCTCCCACGAGATGTTGGAGGAGTTGGAAGATTCTTGAAGTTTGCTGTTTCTAGCAGCTTCCTGGTGTTTGCATGTCTGTTTCTCTGGATTTGAGACATAGTTGGATCAAAATGAGTCAGGGGCCTTGGAGCCACTAGCAGACAAGTGAAGCAGGATTTATTTGTTCCCTTCGTGTGTCAAGAATGTCCCTGTGTTGTGCCCCTACCCCTGGCAGGAAACAAAACCTCATTGCTGGGAAGGCTTTGCGTGCTTAGGAAAGCTTTGCAGAATGCCTCTAGAGCCCACCTCTACCTGAAACCATCTCCATTCAAAATCCATACAGTTCCCGCAGTGGGAGGTGTGTGCCTGGCACAGCCTGCTCAGCAGGGTTAAATTCCTGCAGCTCCTGTGAGGCACAGTTCACTGTCAATTAGTGCCCTTTGCAGTGTTTGGCCTTCTTTGTTCTGAAATAATTGCTGTTATCATAGATGTTTTATTGCCTTCATTATGGTTAACATTTAAATATCAATGAAATAGTGTGCTACTAAGTCATGTGTGCGTTAGCTGTCTGCTAGAGTTATCCCTGAAATTTGTGGCTAAGCAGTACATTAATTCAGCACTGATTTAGAATTCTTGGAAGGAGGGTTATATATTTGTTGATGAATTAGGGCAAACCTTTGCTTATTAGGGGCAAAACCTGAGCCACTCTCATCAGATATTTGAGAGTAGAAATACTCTGTGGTTGGAATAATGTTTTGTCTGCTAAACAGAAATATTTTAAGAGATTTTCAAATACTTTGGAATCATGGAGTCAGACAGCAGAGGCTGACCTTTCCGCATTTGGATGAAGAATTGCACTGGGAGACAGGGATGTGTTCTCTATCCTCTGTGCAGAAGGAAGCTTGCTGTCACGTCCTGTTCTGCCTGAATCCAATCCACGTCCTTCTGAGATCAATGGAAAGTTTCCCTTGAATTCCTGTGGCTTCCATTGACTCCTGTAGTGCCATGCCATGACCTATGCAGACATCAGCTCTGTATGTGATTTAATTTTTATGAGCTGACTTTGCATGTGGCTTTTATTTACCAGTGTATACCTAAAAGCTTCCAAGTGCATAGCTCCTTTGTATGTCACAGGCAGTTGAGGCAGAGGGTGAATTATATTTTTATGTTTGTAGACAAAAAATGGTGGTGCAATTAGAAATTCCATTTGTGAGCCCTGTTTGAGCTTCCCCACGTGCATGTGTAGATGCAAATATCAAATTCAGATATTGAGGGGCGGGTGTGCTGATGTCTAGATGTATGCACCTTATAAGGGTTTTGTTCGTTTGCTGGAATTGTATATGCTTGTTTTCATCATGTCATTGAATGGTTTGCGCTGGAAAGGACCTTAAGGTCATCCAGTTCCAAGCCCCTGCCATGGGCAGGGACATCTCACACTAGACCATGTCGCCCAAGGCTCTGTCCAACCTGGTCTTGAACACTGCCAGGGATGGGGCAGCCACAGCTTCTCTGGGCACCCTGTGCCAGCACCTCAGCACCCTCACAGGGAAGAACTTCTGCCTTATATGTGACCGGAACTTCCCCTGTTTTAATTTGAACCCATCACCCTTTGTCCTATCGAATGGACCTTAAAGCTCTGTCATTCCAGCCCCCATCACTAGCTGAATAAGGTAATCCAGCAGTAGCAATCGTATGACAGAGTGTTTCATTTTGCACCATATAAGCTGCCACAGTGTGTGTGTGTGTGTGTGGGGGGGTGATCATGACATTAGCAGGAGTTCCAAGGTAAAGCTACTCAGATGTACATTGGTAGTCATTGTGTTCACTTCCAGTACGGAAGCCACTGTAAGGTGGTGGCATGTGCAGCTTGCGATGCACAGCTGAGGAAATGACAGGGCTGACAGCTGTAAGAGCTCGCTCGCAGGTTTTCTTCTGAACCTGGCACTATTTCCCTCTTCATCTTATTCAGTAACTTTGTAGTAGACTGTGTTTGGTTCTTTGCGTATTGAAAAATTGAATAGGCAAACCCCTGATTTTGATACCCATTGGTCCCAATGCTTAGCTGCATGTTTCTTGTCCAAATTTTGGCAGCAGCAAGTTTTCCAGGGGATCTGGAATGAATACTATATGTTATACATAAGCTGCAGTGCACTAAGTCCTACAGCTCTTATCAGCCTGGTGTGTGAACGTGTGTGACTTGACTGACACACATCTCTGGCAGCAGATCTGACATGCAGATTCCACCTTTCCAAAACTTTGCTTTTACTGCCATAACTCACTCTGCTCACAGATTTGGAAAGGAAGGGTGATCTTGCTCTGTTGGTGCAGTTTGCTGTCATAGGTATGTCAGTCCCCAGGCTGGCTCCAGATCAGTACTGCATCCGTCTGGTGCAGCACTATGCTGAAGTACCAGCTACCACCCTGCTAACAACGTGGTCATGTTCTGCCCTGCTGGGATGCAGTGGTGCAACACCAACACACTGCCATCAGTGCCAGAGCCTGCTCACACACCCCTCCTGACTGTAGCTGTGTTACCTCCAGCCTCCTCGCTCTGACAGTATGCCTGTGTGTCTTCCTGGGTACCAGAAAAACAGTCTTAATGGGTATAATCCAATTTAGCTCTAATCTGCTGCTGATGATGCAGATGATGGTTTCACCAAGGGATTTCTGGACAGAACTGTAAAAATGTTTTTCAATTAGCAGATGACCAAGAGGGCTACAAAACTTCTGTAAAGCTCTTCAAGAGCTTTTGATTAAGTGTCCTATGTAAATGTATAACATCAGAACAACTATATAGTTCAGGGAAGGGCCACATGCCTTTAGGGTGTTTCAGGAGGTATTTTCCTCAACACAAGCACACAAAAGCACTATCTTCTCCCAGTGTGATCCTGTGGGGAGCTGGGCCCCTTGTATAAAGCAGAGAACACCCCACTGCAGCCAGAGCAGGACCAGCCACGCTGGGACATGGTGTCACCCCCAGCCCTATCGATTCACATGACAAACTGAGCTGCTGTATTTGCAGAATTGGTGCACTTTGAGCATGGCAATTATGCCCTGTTGGAGTGCTTTCCATTTCCTGTGCCATCTTGATAAACTTCATATCTTCTAATTTGCTAGAGAGTCGTTGATATAATTAGGAGCTCCATAGATAGGAGCAGCACACTCAGAAGATGGTAATCGAGTCAGTTCATTTTTCATAAGAAGCGCTCAGGGGGTCCCTACAGCAGCTGGGATCGTTTTCTCTTTAAGCTGTGCTTTTACAGAGCAGCAGAAATCCTTATATGCCTGGGTCATGACATGTTTTATTCTGATCCGTACCACTACCCATATGTTTTTTCATAAGGCAACTAAAGGAAGGGTCCATGTGTTTTCAAAGGGCAATTGGAGCTGTCTGGCTGTGTAAGCTGGCTGTGTTAATAAGCCTGGGCAAGTCAACAGCTCTCTTTTTATGTGAGAGTGATCACTTTAAGTGCAAAGCTTTCACACTGCGGTGTGCCAGTTTGGTGTTCCTCTGCTCCGGTTGCACCAGCTTTTCAAGCAAAGTGGCAGCTTATCCAGAAAGTCTGGATCTGTTCCAGTGGTCAATAAAACCTCATCTCTTGCACTCCTTAGTACTCAGACATGGTAAATAGCAACCTTCAGCTATTCTTATACAGCTGTTGGTTGCATTGCCTTAACAATATCTTTCATGATGGGCTACAAATAGTCTCAGGTATTGGTCAGCATGTTCTTGCAGCTTGCAGCCTGCCAGATTTATTACTGAGAGTTTTAGCAGCTTGGTTCTATAAATGGTGTGTTGGTGATGAAAGGTAAATAATTGATCAATCTATTATTCTCTTTTCTCTTTTTTTTCTCCTAACAGTACTCTCAACAATAACAACATCACCCGCATTCCTGTTACCAGTTTCAATCATATGCCAAAGATCAGGACTCTGTAAGTAATACCTTCAAATATAATAATAATAATAATAACAATAATGATGATGATGATGGTATAAGCCAATGCTTGGATATCTGTTGTGATACTCTTATGTCAATCTCTCCCGCTGTGACCAGTCCACTGCTCTTTCCTGAGGGAGGCAGCCTGCCTGGTGCTGGGCCTGTCCC